TTTAGCTGTTGTATATCATAATATGGCAAAATTATATTTGGCTACACGAAAATATAGTATGGCAATGAAAAATATTCAACAAGCAGTTGAAATAGCTCAAGAAAAATTACCTTCAACTCATCCTCATCTTTTGGAATATACAGAAACATTTGAAAAAATTCGAAAGAAAATGTAATTTTTGTTTTCGTTTACTTGCTCAACAAATTGGTTTTGATTCTTTTTCACTTCCCTACTTTTCTAGGCTCATTTTCACGCGTATGCGCACTCGCGACCAGGGAGAGGCATTATGCGTATGAAACGGGTACACACAGAGTGGGCCACGCCGGACTGGTAGGGCAATGTACATAGGTGTACCGTACATACAGACGGCAGGGACCTACGTACATTAAAGGCCTTCCCGAGCACTATACTGCTTTCGCCATTCCATGACGAATAGAATCTTTCTCTGGATCAGGTTACGAAGCCATCTGATAAGGCTGTGATATAAATTGGTATCTATCTTCTAACATAAATAACATAGACTTAACATAATAAGAATATACACTAAATGTATACAACAACGAAGAAAAAAATTATTTCATCCGAAATAAATCATCTATATCTCATTCTAACATTATCTCAATGTAAGTATTGTTATGGAAATTTAATTTAGAATTGTTCTTTGAAGAAAACAAAAAAAAAGCTTTTTTTTTATCTTTCAACAATTAATTTATTTGTTCAAGTCTTTCTCAAGATAAATAAGATAATTTTTGAACCAACATACCCAATCTTGTTATTGGTACAAATCAATAATAAATCATATTCTTTTTTAACATTCTCATGTTTTTTATAATTTCATATAATTCATAAAAAAAAACAGATGAATTCTAAAAACATCATAGAATAAATTTCTATCATAAATCAATATATCCTAACATATATTATCATTGTAATCAAAAACATTGTAAAAAAATATGAATCATAATATAACATCATTGAATGAATGAATGAATGAATTTCATTATAAATTAATGCATTGTAAAGCAATGAATTTAAATAACATCATTCAATAAATTTCATTCTAAAATAATACATTTTAATATAATGATTCAATAAACATCATTGTAAATTAATACATTTTAATGCATCGTAAATTGTATACATTTCATTGTAAAATAATGCATTTTTAAATAATATCATTCAATAAATATCATTGTAAATAATGAATTTAACAACATATAATAAACTTCATTGTAAATTAATATATTTTTATGTAATATCATTCAATAAATATTATGGTAAATTCAAGCATTTTAACATAGCATTATACAATAAATTTCATTGTAATTTAACACAATATAATGCATCATAAACTTACATATTTCATTTTAAAATAATGCATCTTAATATAAGATCATTCAATAAATATCATTGTAAATAATGAATTTAACAACATATAATAAATTTCATTGTAAATTAATACATCTTAATATAATATGATTCAATGAATATCATTGTAAATAAATGAATTTTAACACAGTATGATATAATAAGTTCCATTGTAAATCAAAACATTTTAATACATCATGAAATTGATAAATTTCATTGTAATATAATGCATTTATTGAATTGTACAGAAATGAATTTTAATAACACCCACCCTTTAGATTTCGTTCCAAAAAAAATGCATCATTATATAATATCGATCAATAAATATCATCGGAAATTAATGTATTTTAATTCTTTGCGTCCCAAATTATTTCTGCTGGACACTGACACGCCCAGATAAAAACCAACATGCTCGCATACGGATTCACGTGCGCACACATACACACCCATATCTACTAATTCGATACCCACTACATCCACACCGTTGAACATTCTTTATTGCTATATTCCAGTAAATTACATAATAATTATTAAACATGTATAGATTTCTTTTTCCTACTATAGAATTGAAAGATTTAACATAACATTATGTAACAAATTTCATTATAAATGTACACATTTTCATACATTATAAACTCATACGTAGCATTGTAAATAATTATAAATTGATAACTGTGTGTCATTCATGAAAAATCATAATGTAAAATAATACTAATTATTGTAAGTAATATAAAAAATAGTAAACCTTGAAAAATAAATCATGTGAGTGTCATGTTTTATCTTTATTGAGCATGCTCCTGATTTGTTCGATCGAATCGTATGAGAATACTGGTGAAAATGTGTTTCATATATATATATATATATGTTTTTAAACATACATTGCCAATCAAAGACATTCTAATGATGTTGATATCAATTTGACGAACGATAATTGACGATTATGTGCACATTCGAATATAATTGATTTGATTAATCATCACATGATTAATTGAAATGATGAGACACGAATTAATTTCATCGTTTTTCGTGTGCATGGATGTGAATACTAGTCCTTTGTTCATATACAGTCCTTCATGGACAATACATATTCTTTTCTTTCTTTTTTTTGGATCAGAAGAAATTTCTATTCGTCATCATCATCATCATCATCGAAAAAACAAAAGCAATTAATTTGAATCATAAATCATAGAATTATTTTTTAGTACGACTTTTGAAAATTGATTAGAGTGCATTATTCAAATGAATATATTCGTTATTTTAGAAACACAAGATCAACAAGTCTGTTGAATGCGGCTGTACTGTCATTATATAAAAACTCGTTAAGACAAAGCCAACTAATTGTATAGAAAATTAAAAAGTTTTCATAAGATTCGATTTATATACCATCGAATGAATATTTCTGTTGAAATTAAATCACTAATATCGAATTGAAACTTTTAAATGAGTATTATTATCAATTGAAACAAAATTCTTTATTAAGAAAAGAAACTGAAAATAAAAATCACTTCAATACGTCTACTTAAGATAAATTTCGATTTCACATGATTGATTTGCTGATATATAATCAATTTTTCAGTTGAATATTGATGGTAGTAAATAAAATATACATATATGATTCAATCTGAACAAACACTATCAGTAGCACATGACTTATTTTCTGTCAAAAACCAATTTTTGTTTTTGTCGATATTATTATTTTTATTGTACTCGAAAAATACCTAAGGAGCCAGCTCTTATCGTTCGACTCCCGTGAAAATACTTTTGACTTCAAAAATTAAGAAATATTCTCTCAAAATGTTTCGTCGATACATAGGATTAGTAGATGAAAGTTCTACAATTGAAAACTTCTTTGCTACTAAACTAAAAGAGGAATAATTTTCTTTAGAAAAACAATTTAAAATTAAGGAGTTGGTTTTACTTTTGAATAAGTAATATTGTTATTCATTCATCAGATATATTAATTTGATCATAGGGTTTCTATCATATTGTTTGTTCTTGCTCATATGTAATTATTATTGATGGATATGAAGCAACAGATCGATTTTAAAATTTTCTTTTGTTTTCCTAGTAAATAAGAGTTTTTACTGTTTACCTTGTTTTTCTATTATTAGTAAATGATTACTCAAGTTTTTGCACAAAAAACGAAAAAAAACTTTAATCTTGTTTTTTCAGATCCATGCAAACGAATAAAATTTCATATTCCAAATGAAAATCATTTTTTTTTATATATTTGAATAAATCAACGATAAAATTAAATATAGCTAAATAAACAATCATTTAACTTAAACTATTATCCTTTCATATAATACTATAAGTGATTAGCTTTTGGGTCTTGAGGCCTAACATCGTTGACAATTTCCTTACAAATATGAACTAACTTCACGCTAGAGTCGAGTTTGTTACACCAGTTAGAATTTCATTTAGTTACGTTGACGGTTGCCATATCCTTCGTGCAGATCAATAGTCAACACCAGAAAAAAAAACTTCTATTGATTTTGAAGAAACTAGAAAAAAATTATATCATAAAACAAAAAAAAACAAATCTTGATTACATACTACTTTCGTCTGTTATAAATATAACCGATTGACTATATGGATATCCTTTATCAATAGAATCTAATGAATCACAACGAATTCTAGCAAGTGTTCCATTTATTGAATCAATTCCAATATTTGCTGATGATAAATTATTAAATAATAATTCTGTTTTTAATGATTGAATTCTATTCATTGGTTGTAACAGATGAGAATATTTCATTTTAAAGAACTTTGTCAGAACAAGTAAACAAACGTTCAATAGATAAAGTCATCTATACCATTTTCTAGAGCAACTCGTGACGTATCAAGTAGTAATATTCTGGCCAGCCATATACCAATTATGGAATGTTATAGGATTGGTCACTTTTATCCTCAGCAACAGCATTCAAGAATTTAAAAACTTCATTAAAACCAAAAACTACAAATCCCAGTAAAAATATTAAGATTTCGAATAGGAAAAAAGCTATTTGTCAAAATTATTAGATATACACAATTGAAAAACTATATAAGATATCTATTTTATATATCTTAACTGATTGAGTATGATCGAAAAGGTTTTATACGACATGTTTGTTCATTTTTGTCCCACTAGAAAGGATTTTCAACGAAACACTCTTGCCGAATATGAACTTAGAAATTTCATTTCAATTTTTACATTTTCACTATTATAATTCGAACCTAAACGTTGGAATCTTTATTTAGATGTTCCCTTGTAATCTACTTTTTGACTGAAAATCACGTTATGTTGAAAGCATCTATTCTACAAAAACGGCATCGATGGTCAACTAACGTTTGTATTTGATAAAGTCTATTATGAAAAAATAATAT